CCTTGATTAAGACATGCATGCAATAAATCATCCATGTTATGACCAACATCAACGCAAACACCGTCATATTCATTTAGAACTGCAACTTCAGGAACTTCTACAACATTAATATTGTTCATTTCATTGCCACTGTAATCTTCTTCAGACTCTTGATGCAGAGTCCATCGGCGTTGCCCATAAAGTTTATCCCAACTCCTCCAAAGTAAATGTTTATCCACGAATTCACGATCCCCCCACTTACGACACTTACAATCTCTACAAGAACATCCTATTTTACTATCACCGTCACAGTTAGCAAATAAAAAATCCATAAATTCCACACAACCATTTTGAAATATTTCCAGCCGACAATCGTCTAACAAAACACAACTTCTATCTTTTGGCATTCTTTACTTAGCAAGTATAACTAGAAATAGCGAGGGCTTCAAATTAAAAAAAACTTTTTTTATTCTATGAAGTCATGATTATATACAAAAACTAAAATTAAATTAAAGTTGAACATATACGAAGTGTAAATCAAGAGTTTGCTCATATTTATGTAATAATTTCAAATAGTAGTCTGATGGAGTTTCACTCTTCATTCACACAATTATTTTCAATTTCAATGAAGTTTCAAAAATTATTCACACAATATTTACGAAAAATACTAAGTATACATTCCCTTCTTAAAAAAAATAATTTCAGAAATAAATAAAAAAACATAAATAATCCACCAAAAATAACAGACTACCATTATCAATGAAGACAAAAAACAAATAGCGAGCAAACAAACGAATGGAGTTGTTTTCCCCTTAGGAAAGGTAGACATTAAGATGAGACGTTTGCACGAAAGGAAAAATAACACGAGAACATGGAAATCTATAACTTGCCTAAACTCTACAACCTGTTGTTCACCACATAATTTGAAAATTTATATTCAAAGGCCGACAAAAAATAGTAGTAACAATGGAAAGGCTTTTAAACAGAACAACAATGTTAATGTATATATGCAATTGTGCCCAACATAGCCAATTTTATTAGGATTTCAAATCAAAGAAAAAAAATTAGGGCAAGAAGGATTACCTTTTTGTGGTTGTTGAGGGCTAGCTAGAGAGGAGGAAGTTACAGAGGCCTAGCTACCGGTGAACGAGGTTGTAGGGAGAAGATGGAGGTGGTGGCGGCGCCGCCGTACAGAGCTGGACGGATATTGGAAAAAAAATGAGGACGGCGGAGGCAGAGGGCGGACGATGGAGGCGGAGGCGGAAGCGCGGACGACGGAGGCAGAGGGCGGAGGGCGGACTGTGAGAGATTGAGAGTGAGAGATTGAGAGAAAGAAAGACGAAACGAGTTAGAGAAAAGGGGAAGTAAAATTAGGGTTTGTATTCTAATTAAACATTTGGCGACGATTTAAAATAAGCCGTAGCAAACTAAGACGAAAACGAATCCATTGGCGACGTTATTTAGGCTTCCGTCGCAATTTAAAAAAAAAACCCAACTAAATACACTGGCGACGTTTTCATAGGGATTGTCGCTAAAGGGGGGAATTTTTCACTAATTATTTGGCGACGTTTTATACACTACAGTCGCAACAAATAATTAGAATTTTTTTTTTTTAAAAATGGTTGAACATGGCGACGTTTATAGCCAATTCGTTGCCAAAAAGAATTTTTTTTTTCAATAATATCCCCTGCGACGTTTCTTTCACGATGCGACGTTTCTTTCACGTTTCGTCGCTAAGAAATTAATATTATTTAATATTTTCACTTTATAACGCTACGTTTATCCAATTCGTCGCCAAGACATTAATTAAATGGTTTTTTTTTTTTCGCAATTACACTAGCGACTTATACATAGTATTCGTCGCTAAGGTGCAATATTAAATTACAAAATATATTATTTGTGCGTCATTTATATAACGATGTCGCTACGAGAGGACTTTTTATTTTATTTTTTTCATTTGCGACGTTTTTAGAATTATAGCCGCGAGTTCGCGACGATTAATATTTTCGTCGCGAGTTAATCCACCAAAATCGTACTTTCCGACATCTTGCGACGTCGTGTAATTTAAATCGTCCCAACGCCGCGAAGATTCATAAATCGTCGCCAAAAAAAATGTTGCAAGAAAGAGCAGTTTTGGCCTACTGTGGAGAAAGAAAGTGTTAGAATTTATTTCGTGCAGATATAAATTATTTGTTTCAAGTTCAGTTTTTCGTTACTGTTGCGTGAAGTGTTGCAACAGTTCGTGAAGCAGTTCGTAAAAACAGAAATAAACGAGACACAAATTTTAATGTGGTTCGGATACAATCGTACCCTACATCCACGGGGACCTGCAAATAAAATTTACTAATTTTTAGTTTTACGAATACAATAGTAGGACTTAATCAAAATACAAAGACTCCCTCTTTGTTGACGCCGTTCTTGTATACTACGCTGAATTATAAATCTTCAATTTGCAGCACGTCCCTTGCTCCGCACGGTTGAACTCCCTTCAACGCTGAATCCCTCAGTCGGCGGATCGATCTCTTCCCGAGATCTCTTTAAGCCCCTCTCCCGAAGAACCGATCTTCTTTTTGTATAGAAGAAGCAAACTTGTGATACTCCTTGAATCTTGGTGTCTTCACCACAAAGCCTTGAAGCCGGTATATGTTCTATGAAAATCACGTATCACGATGGAACAATAAAAACGAGAGGAAAAAAAATATTTCTCTGAAATCTTCTCTCGATGAAAAAGACGCCAATAAAATAACGAGAGTAAAGAAAAATATTATGTGTAAATTTTTCTCTCCAAGAAGACGTAAAAACTTATGCTGAGATTGCTCTCTTTTTATATCCTACGCCATAAGATCCCTATACAAGGAAAAGTTAGAGACCAAAATATTAACAATACTTAAGTCACGTAGGAAACTAAATCTTAGGAATATAGGAGATTTCTTTGCCAATAAATAATTCCCATATCTATTAAAACTCTACAAATATATGACAATAAAATATAAAAAGATAATTATGCTTGTATAAAGATAATTCCCACTATTAATCAATTAATGATAAAATAAAGAATTAAAACACAAGGAAACTCCCCTTCTTATATTACGACATATCTAGACTTGTGGACGAGTCTTTTACGTGTTTCCTTGCAAAGTCAGAATCCATAGGATTCTAACAATCACGATCCCGTGCTGCTCTATTTATACTTCTACATGTGATAAGAATCCTACAAGGAAATAGAGTCCATTAGGGTTAGGAAACTCTTAATCACGTAGGAAATAATATTTTCAATACAAAGAAACTCTTTAGAAGAATAATTCCTATTATAAATCAATTAATGACAAATTAAAAGAATTAAAAGTTTCGAGGACTCTTCCCTTCTTTAGCTCATGGTATATGTAAACTTGTGGCACAAGTTTCATCTAATTCTCGAATAATTAGAATCCAAGGGATTCTAACAATCTCCCCCTTTGTCGTTTATTGATTATAATCATTTTCTCCCGCTGAGTAAAAACTCATCATCTCCATCTCTTTCAGCAACAAGAGTGCCATCACCTGCTGCAATAGTGAGTGCCACAGTTTCAGCAACTGTTCCCACAGTAGTGGCTTCGGCAGGTGGTTCACAACGGAGTCAGCTCCCCCTGCATGTGTTTCTCCCCCTGTAAATTATCCTTAGGCAGCTCCTCTTGTAAATGACTTCATTCTTGTCCTTTGCTTACTCGGCTTGATAGACTTGGAAGGCGGTGGATGACAACGTGGTAAATTATCCACGTGATAAGAGACTCAGCAAATAACGTCGGCATTAGCTCCTCCTTTTATATTCTTGTGAAGCTCTGGAGAAATCAAACAAGAAAACCAATTAATGACAATTACCACAATAATAATAAAAAGATGGAATTCCTTCTATTTTGGATAGACACGTTCAGGTGATTAATATGGAGAGATAATTTATTTCTTCTCAAATTATCTAATGAGATAACTAAGGAAAATATGTTCCTCATATTAATACACATCTCCATAGAATTCCACTTGGTGTTGTGGACTTAGAATCCCACCGAGATTCTAACACTCTCCCCCTTTGGCATTGATTGGTCAGAACATTTACTCCCCCTAAATATATGATACCTGCATGAACAAGGGTTATCAAATTCAGAATAACATCTGCACATATAAACTGTTGCAACAGTTTATCAAACAGCTCAGCAGATAATGTAAACCGTAAATAAACCATAGTTCCAAAATAAAAGCAGATAATTCGTTCAGATAAGCACGAGATAAAGGATATGCAGTAGCGGAAACAACTTCTCTTCACAATGCTTATTATTTGTCCTATATTTCTTTCCCAGCAACTGTCTGATGCACTGTTTCAACAATTGTCTGAACTCCCCCTGAATTTCTGCATTGTTCCAGCAACTGTCTGAACCCCCCTGCATTCCTGCAGTTGTCTGAACTCCCCTTGCATTTCTGCACTGTTCCAGCAACTGTCTGATGCACTGTAGCAACAGTTGTCGGAACTTCCCCTGTGTTCATGCCAGCGTTACTGTTCTTTTCTCCCCCTTTCTGGGCAATCACCATGCACAGATAAGTCAACATGGACTAATGATCTTGATGTTTCGAGCAATCTGTTCAAAACTTAACAAAAAGATCAAACGAAGAGAGAATTTTGAAACTAAGTAAGAAGAATCACCATACATGACGTGCACACAAAATCACAAACTCACAAACTCAATACCACAGGATAATAGCAATGCGAAAATCAAAGGATAGTGATATCAAATCCAACATTAAATAACAAGGACTACAGACTTTGCCAAACTTCATACGAAACGAGGAAATGTGAGGAGGAAAAATTTAAATTTAACCGGCACATAAACAAAAATCCCGTCTCTCTCCCTTTTTTTTTTTTTTTTTTTTATTTTTTAAATAATGCCTAATGCAGTACAAAAAGTAAACATGAGAAATAGACATGAGTGACGAGACATATGTGAATACGATACTGCATGGACAAACAAAACATATGGGATTTATTTTCACATTCACGATAAACGCAATCCCCAAAAATCCGACTGCCAATGCAACCAACAAACTTAATAATCCCAAGTCAAACACAAAGATGCTCTTATTAGGTAGCGTACACACACGTCTAATGGTAGTTTTTTCTCATGAAAAACAGAGCAAATAAAAGGAACGAGATTATGGTGGTCGTGCAATGTGTAGTCCCCTGGGCTTTCTAATTGAGCTTTGTAGTAAGTGTTCGGTCAAGTGGTTTACTGGCTCGACTCAACTCGGCTTCGAACTATTCACTGACCATATATATATATATATATATATATATATATATATATATATATATATATATATATATATATATATATATATATATATATATATATATATATATATATATAATTTATATTGGCCGTGCAATGTGTAGTCCCCTGGGCTTTCTAATTGAGCCTTGTAGCGAGCTTTCGGCCACGTGATTTACTGGCTCGACTCAAAAAGGCTTCGAACTATTCACTGACCAAATGGTTGTAGATATATATATTAGTAACAGTAGTTCAAGAGTAGCTTTCACTCATTAAAAGAGGCAGCTTTTCCCTATAAAAACATCCAACCATGACAAGACTATTCAGAGAAATAAATAAGTTGGAGCCTTTTAAGTAATCATTTTGAGAATTGGTGAAGTTCTACCCCACAAAATTTAGAAATACACGAAGTATCAAATTCACATTTGTCTCAATCATATGCAGTATGCTTAATGCAGATCCTATATGAGATGCAAAAACATATGAAGTGTCCTACCACTAAAAGTTGCAAGTCTGGACACACAGACTGTTGCAACAGTTCGTGCAACTGCATCAGATTAAGCAACATAAATTCCCAACGATTTTCGCAAGGAATCAAATCTCTGTGCATCAAGGGTTTTTGCAAAAGCATCAGTTAATTCATTCTCCGTTGCAGCATAATCAATTGAGACAACCCCCTTTTCAACCAAACCCCTTATGAAACAATGACAGATATCAGTAAGCTTAGTTCTCGAATGCTGAATTGGATTCATAAACTTATTTTTCGCATACAAATTATCACAATTCAGATTACCAAGTTTTTTATTCCCAAAACTAGCTTTGTCACCAGAACTGTTGGAACAGTTAGTACTATCATCACATGAGTTTAAAGAAGTAATGGCAGATAAACAATTAAGATCAGACTTCTTTATCCAGATTTTTTGTTGCGTTTTATTCACTAAATCAACCTTTATCTTGGGTTTTTGAGATGACACAAAAGTGTGATCAATTTTAGCGTAAAGTGGTGAGCGGGCCATTATTCCTTTAACCATTTTCAAGTACTTAAAACACCTGGGTCGTATATGACCAGGAACATGACAAAAATGACAGGTAGGAACAAAAACTCTTCTTTGAAATGGCTGTGTCGGTGCAACTGTCGCAACAGTTTGTGAAACAGTGGATTGCTTAACAAAATTAATTTTTCTCTTAGGATTTTCTTTCTGTTTCGATCCACCAGTAGATAGTTGGTTACCCCCTATACCTAAACGACAGTAGTTCGGCTGATTTTTGTTCAAAATTTCATTCAAAGTTACTCTACCAGTATTAAACTTAGAAATAACATCTTGGGTTTGAGCAAATTTAGCCTTCAAGCTATCTATATCTCTACTAGAAGAAATAACATTTTGTTCAAGAGTAGAAATTCTTACCTTCAACACTTTATTTTCCTCTATGAGAACATGCTTATCATTTTCAAGGCGCTTATTTACCTCAGATACTTCAAGCCACTTCCGGTACATTTTTTCATATACATCTTTCACCTCTTCGAGGGTTGGCTCTTCATCATCACTACTGCTCTCAGATTCACCTGCAAAATTAAATGGTGAAGTCAGACTATTGTCCTTATTTAAAGATAATTCATCATACCTGAAATCTATCGGATAGACTGTTGCAACAGTTCCCTCGGTTCTGCTCATCGAAGTAGTACCACTGAATGCCATAAAGTTAGTGGTTTGATCTCCTTTGCTGTTCTCATCCTCATCACTGTCCTCTTTATCACTCCAAACAGTGGTGAGTGACATCTTGTTTTTCTTCAAAGTGTTCGCACACTCGGCCTGAATATGTCCAAAACCCTCACACTCTCGACATTGCTTTCTCCTAGACTTTGCATCACCAAAATAACCATTATTAGAAAACTTTTTAAATTTGTTAGGGTTAACAGACTTACCTGATTGAGAGGAATTTTCTCTATTTTCAATTTTTTGACGCAGGCTTTCGAGGTTATTTGACATAATTGCTAAGGATTCTTCAACATCAATGTCACACTCATGAAATGTTTGGCCTTGTGAGATGCCATGGGAAGCTTCAGCTTGGAATGCCACATTCTTCACCTTTTTCTTTTCTCGAATATTTGCTCTAAAATTCATTTCTTGGGTTTGCAGTTTACCCATGAGTTCATCTAGCTTTAGCGTATTGATATCTCTCACTTCTTCGACTGCTGCAACTCTGTAAGCGAATCTTTCTGGTAATGAACGTAGTGCCTTTCTTACCAACTTTGTTTCCGAGTATTGTTCACCTAGTGCATACGATTCATTTGAAATATCACACAGCTTAGCATGGAAATCAGCAATCGTCTCGTCCTCCTCCATATGAAGACTCTCAAATCTCGTGGCTAGCATCTGCAGCTTAGATGCTTTAACAGTTGATGTGCCTTCATATGTCACTTGTAGGATCTCCCATGCCCTTTTTGCTGATTCACACGATGCTATCAGTTTGAACTGATTGTCACCAACGCCACTGAAAATTGAGTTTATCGCCCTTGAGTTGTAATTGGCAAGTAATATCTCTTCATTAGTCCATGTTTCTTCTAATTTTACCGTTTGCATACCATCCGTTCCTTTAGCCATGGGCGGGGTCCAACCAGTCACGATAGCACGCCAAGCTCGTTCATCAACGGACTTGATGAACATCTTCATCTTCGATTTCCAGTAAGAGTAATTTGATCCATCCAAGAGAGGTGGTCGTACTGTAGACGCTCCTTCACGATGAAGCATATCTGCACAAAACAAATTAAAAAAATTAAATCCCAAAATCTCACTAAGTGTACTAGTGACAGGCTCTTGATGCCAATTGTTAGAATTTATTTCGTGCAGATATAAATTATTTGTGTCAGGTTCAGTTTTTCGTTACTGTTGCGTGAAGTGTTGCAACAGTTCGTGAAGCAGTTCGTAAAAACAGAAATAAACGAGACACAAATTTTAATGTGGTTCGGATACAATCATACCCTACATCCACGGGGACCTGCAAATAAAATTTACTAATTTTTAGTTTTACGAATACAATAGTAGGACTTAATCAAAATACAAAGACTCCCTCTTTGTTGACGCCGTTCTTGTATACTACGCTGAATTATAAATCTTCAATTTGCAGCACGTCCCTTGCTCCGCACGGTTGAACTCCCTTCAACGCTGAATCCCTCAGTCGGCGGATCGATCTCTTCCCGAAATCTGTTTAAGCCCCTCTCCCGAAGAACCGATCTTCTTTTTGGTTAGAAGAAGCAAACTTGTGATACTCCTTGAATCTTGGTGTCTTCACCAGAAAGCTGAAGCCGGTATATATCTATGAAATACGTATCACGATGGAACAATAAAAACGAGAGGAAAAAAAAATATTTCTCTGAAATCTTCTCTCGATGAAAAAGACGCCAATAAAATAACGAGAGTAAAGAAAAATATCGTGTGTAAATTTTTCTCTCCAAGAAGACGTAAAAACTTATGCTGAGATTGCTCTCTTTTTATATCCTACGCCATAAGATCCCTATACAAGGAAAAGTTAGAGACCAAAATATTAACAATACTTAAGTCACATAGGAAACTAAATGTTAGGAATATAGGAGATTTCTTTGCCAATAAATAATTCCCATATCTATTAAAACTCTACAAATATATGACAATAAAATATAAAAAGATAATTATGCTTGTATAAAGATAATTCCCATTATTAATCAATTAATGATAAAATAAAGAATTAAAACACAAGGAAACTCCCCTTCTTATATTACGACATATCTAGACTTGTGGACGAGTCTTTTACGCGTTTCCTTGCAAAGTCAGAATCCATAGGATTCTAACAATCACGATCCCGTGCTGCTCTATTTATACTTCTACAGGTGATAAGAATCCTACAAGGAAATAGAGTCCATTAGGGTTAGGAAACTCTTAATCACATAGGAAATAATATTTTCAATACAAAGAAACTCTTTAGAAGAATAATTCCTATTATAAATCAATTAATGACAAATTAAAAGAATTAAAAGTTTCGAGGACTCTTCCCTTCTTTAGCTCATGGTATATGTAAACTTGTGGCACAAGTTTCATCTAATTCTCGAATAATTAGAATCCAAGGGATTCTAACAGAAAGATTGACACTACTCTCGATAATTGAAAAATCAATACGCAATCTTCGAAGATGAGGAATTGGGGTAGGGTTTTGGGAATTTGAAGATGGGAGAAAGGGGGATTTATGTGGAAAAGAAATCGTGGATTTGTTGTAGGGAGATATGAGAGAAATGGAGAGAGATAATGAGGTGTCGTCCAACTAATCTTCCAACTTGATTTGTACTGCCACATGGACCTCATGTGCATCGCACATGACATTTCCGTCCAAGTTTACTCGGTAAATTGACGGCTGAACCGAAAGTGTCCAAAAAGTGGCAAGTTTGAGGATTAAATTCGTGGAAGGAAAAGTTTGAGGACCAAAATCGTTTTAGGTGACAAGTATAGGGACGGAAAGTGTAATTATACCTTTAAGCAACTAATAAACTCTTACGTCTGATAAGCTATTTTAAGAAACAATAATTTGTTACGTCTTATTTTTAGAATTAATTTTTTTTAAGTGTTTGGATAATGGGCTTATAAGGTATTTTTGCACATTATAAAATCTTAAATAAAAAGGTGGGTTAGAAGGGTTTTTTTTTTTTAAGATCTTATTTGCTCTCAAACGGCTTGATTTTGAATTTTTAAGATTTTAAAAAAAAAATTACCAAACAGTTTGAAAGATTTTATAAGTTTTTAAACATCTTAAAAGTTCTTTATAACAGCTTATAAGCTTAATCAAACAATCTCTTAATACGTTCTTGTTCTTCATGTATACCGTCCACTTTGCAAAATATAAAAAATATATACTATAGTAATACAATGCATGATAAAATTGTATGATGAATTTAGCTATTTCCAATATAATTATAATCACCGTGATTATAATTATATGTGTTGATTGATTAGAAGATATTTTATAATGTTTGACTTCCTAAAATATAGAAGTAGTATTCGGCTTAATTATATGGGTCTATTAGACATAACCCCCTTAAACATTCAAATAATAGGGGTAGACCCAAACTTAACATTGCCATTTTGATAAAAACCCAAACGTTTGTAAATTACATAATTACCCTCAATCAAATCCCACAAATCCCGTTACTTTACCTTTTGAAATAATATCAAATATCTCCCTATTTTCCCGTTAAAACGTTATCACCACAAACCGAGTATGAGAAAAGCTGCAAAACCTCCCGACCGGCGAAATTTGCACTGCCGTGAAACGATGATTTTCGTGGACTCCGAGCAAGCCGCCGTAGGTACGTCTTCTCCGGTCGCTATCGTCCATCGATTTGTTGATATGTTTTGGCTAAATCGACTATCACGTTTGTGTAATTGCAGATATGTTATAATCGCATACCGAAGTGATAGCGTCGTTGGCCGCCGTCGCCGTCTATCGTCCATCGATTTGGTGATATGTTTTGGCTAAATCGACTATCACGTTTGTGTAATTGCAGATATGTTATAATCGCATACCGAAGTGATAGCGTCGTTGGCCGCCGTCGCCGTCGCCGTCACTGCTCCAATCTAGGGTTTCTGAAATGTAGGATTACTGAAATCTAGGGTTTTGATGATTCGTCGGCCCATAGTTGATTAACGAGATGCATAGTCGAATTACATCTGTATTAATATACTATCCCATATCACTTAATACACTATACAACAAATATATAATTTTGCTATGGGTATCGTTAATCGTCTATGGGCCGAAGAATCATCAAAACCCTAGATTTGAGAGGTGACGGCGTCGGATTTGTGTTTTAAATATAATAGAATATCTCATAGCTTATCATAGACTATCCCATGTATCTAATTCGACTATGTTTTAAGTTAATTGACTATTGGAAAAATAATAATATATATGGAAACTGAATAATATGTTTGATTGAAATACTAATCAATTAGGGTAATTTTCCTTATTATATGAAAACGATTAGGTTAAGTAATAATATATATGAAAAATAATAATATATATGGAAACTGAATAATATGTTTGTTTGAAATACTAACCAATTAGGGTAATTTTCCTTATATCATGTAATAGACTGTGTTATTGAGCTAATTCGACTATCGATCTCGTTAATCGACTATGTATCCCGTATTATTCATCCACCGAGTATATTAATAATTACAATATAGTACATTAATCTGATATGATAGTATATTACGGTTATAGTAGTGACATGAAATTGTGTTACAAACAATATAGCACTGAAATGACAAGAACATTGAGAACAACACAAACGTAAAGTATTCCAACATAACCAATAAAATAGTACATTAATAATCTCATAATTTCAAAAGAGAAGCGACAAGCCCTTTTTGTCTTCTTCAACATGTTTGGTATATTTTTTTTTATAGTGATCTATCTCATCAAATTTAAATTTAGAGGTCTCATCGACCTCCATGTTCGTGCTATCTGTGATATCTGCACCAAGTCGGCCTAGATTGGCCAAAGCGTCTGCTGTTTGATTTTTCGCCCTTACGACGTGGAGAATACTAGTAATATTGAACTTTGTCATATCAGTTCGCACAGAGCGTAATATCTCTTGAGCATCCGCATCCCTGTAGCCACTCCCATTGTTGATTACATAAGCCAAGTTTTTGGAATCTGTCTCAAAAATTAATTTCTCTCTGTCTTCTTTCTTCGGAAAAAGTTTTAAGCACCACAGCAAACTATTCAAAAAGGCCCGTAGCTCTCCTACATTGGTTTTGCCCGATGTGTTTTTCCAAACTTGTTTATGAAGCACCTCCCCGAGGTGGTTTCTGATTACGGCACCACTGCCCTCACCCGTAAGAATTGATTTTTTTATGATACGGCCCTGACTTGTAGACTTTGATTTATCCTTAATCTCCACAAACTTGGCTGAATAATCCAGCGATATTTTGAGTTTTCCCATCGGTGGGGCTTCCCACTTGAGACCCAATAGCAAGAATAAAAACATAAAAATTTTAATCAATTTTTATTCAAAATAAAAATGAATAAACAAATCAAAACCTGAGCTGATGAAATGTGGTGGGGATGAATACAGAAAAAAGAGAACCTTGGGGGCGGGCTCGGAAGGATGGAGCGGAGGGTTGCCGGAGGAGATCGGAGCTTCGGGGGAGATCTTGGCGGAGTAATGACGGATGTAGGGAGACGAGATTCCAAACATTCTCCGAAGGGCTAACATTGTCATCGGGATGGAGTGAACGCCGATTGAGGCAGAGTTGTCGCGAGAAGAGAGGAGGGTTTTAGCAAATCTAGGGTTTTTATGTTGTGGGAATAGGGTTTTTCTTAACAGACTATCACATATCATTTAATATACTAGCACACTAGTATAGTTTTACTATGGATCTCGTTAATCGACTATGGGCCTAAGAATGAACAAAACCCTAGATTTGAGAAGTGACGGCGGCGGATGGGTCCTTTAAAATTAATAGACTATTCCATATGTTTTAAAATACTATCCCATGTATCTAATGCGACTATGGGTTTAGTTGATTGACTATTGGAAAAACCATAATAAATATGGAAACTGAATTAAACAAGACTACGAACGATTTTTAATGTACTACCCAGCACACTTAAATCGGCTGCTATAAACAAATAAAGCAACTATCGATTGGGATGAAAAACTCACTCGACCACAGCGGACAATTATTCCGATTATTGCATAAACCAACTACGAAGCTCATATAAAACAACTCTGGTCCGATCTGCGTGAACCATCCTCT